AGAGCAGAATGTTATTGCTTTTCTCCAGGCTGCACGACAACATGGAAGTGGACATGCGGAGCTGGCCTTCAGCAGCCTCATTCCAACCTCCTTCACTAGTGTCTCCAGAGGCCTCTCCCAGAATCCCTTGCAGCTGAAGTTCAGGATTCATAGTAGATTCCCCAATTTGAAGAGGAGAATTGAGGTAGGACCAGGCTACCTTTCGGCCGCTTCAGATGCATTCCTGTTAAGTCAGGGCATCCGTGCCCAAGCACTAGACAATTCCGGAGACCTGACCAGCATCCCAGTGTCCAGTTTGTGTTGCTATGGGAGTTAAGACACAGCTGTGGCAGTGGCCTCCTGGTCCCGGCTCACAGCTCTGGTGCTGAGCTCTTGAACTCTGTACTTCCACTTTCCTGCATCAGAGATGAGCTACATCCTTCATGTTCTCATAATGCTAGAGGCGTGTGTGTGCTCAGCCCCTCTTCCCTCGGAACCACTCTCCCAGGGGCCACCAGAGCCATGCTGGCGAGCACAGCTGCATGCCCAGGGTGGACACCTGACATCTGGGTTGATGGCATTTTCTCTCTCGGGACTCTGGACCTCAGATGTAATACCAGGGAGATGTTAGGAGGCGGGAAGCGTCATGCATCGGTCTGGGGCCAGTGGAGGCCCCAGTCTGTCATCTGGACCAAACATGAATTTGAAGTCAGTCTGCAGCCAAGGAACAGATGAGACAGGCACGGATGGAGAAATGACGAGCCAGGAAGAGGCTCGACACCACTGAGGCCTCGAGTCAGCCCCGAGCGAGTCCAACTGCTTCCCTGCTCTTGGGACGTAACGTGCCCCTATAACCGTATTTTTTAAAAGGTCCCTCTTTAGCTCGAGGCAGCTTGTGTGGGCTCCTGTTGTTGGCAGGTCAGGAGGCCTCAGGACCCAGCTCATGTCCACTGCATGGGAGTCCTGGGCCCTTCACCTCCCACCTCCCAGCCTGCACTGCTCTGGCCTGGCTGCGGGGGCGCCATGGAGTGGATTCCAGGGCAGGTAGCCCTAGGTACCTGGTTCTGTCTAGTTGAGACTGCCCTTTGGGCAAGCCCCCGCCCCACTTTGGGCCTCAGTTTCCCACTTTGGAATATAAATGGTCTAAAAATGTCCAAGATCCCCTTTAATCCTAGTCTTCAGAGACTGTTGCTAACCCCAAGGAACTCAAAGGAAAATTGTTTTCATTTAGATTTAAATATATATATATATATTGAGCCTCTTTCTCCACTATGCTCTATTACAGTGGTTCTCAACCTTCTGGCCCTTTAAATACAGTTCCTCATGTTGTGACCCAACCATAAAATTATTCTCATTGCTACTTCATAACTGTAATGTTGCTACTGTTATGAATCGTCATGTAAATATCTGATATGCAGGATGGTCTTAGGCGACCCCTGTGAAAGGGTCGTTCGACCGCCAAAGGGGTCTCGACCCACAGGTTGAGAACCGCTGCTCTATAAGCTGTTTTTAGAAACCACTCATAGCCAGAAAGTGGAAAGAACCCAAATATCCATGAGCTGATGAATAGATATATTATTCAGCCATACAAAGGAACGAAGCACTGATACATGCTACAACACGGATAAACCTTGCAAACATCGTGCTAGGTAGCAGCCAGTCGTGAAAGGCCATATGTTGAATGATTCCACTTATATGAAATGTCCAGAATTGATAAATCTAAAGTAGCTTAGTGGTTGCCAGGAGATGGGATTGGGAATAATTGCTAATGGGTAGGGGGTTTCTTTTGGGGGTGGAATGATTGTGGTTCTGAAATTGACTGTGGTGATGGTTGCACAACTTCGTGAATACACAACTTTGTGAAAGCCCCTCAATTGTATACTTTAAAGATATGACTTTATGGCAGGTGAATTATATCTCAATGAAGCTGCTATTCACCAATAAAAACGCTCACCCAGCGGCTGTTCTAATTGGGCTGTAAGCTGGCACTTCAGCGAGGCTCAGTGACCAATTCACAAGGTCGCGCCTTTGAAATTCTGACCTTGACTTAGGAGCCAATCTACCAAACGTGCAATTACTCCGATGGCTCCCGAGACCGAGGCAAGAACAAGGTCATTTCCACTATAAAGTGCTGGGTGTCTCCGGGGGGCCTGGAGCAGACAGGAGCTGCGTGTGGCGTTTCACGTGGAAATGAGCCCACAGCACCTGCGGTTTCTCCCGTTTCCCCCGGATGTGCTGAGGGGCTGAGAGGAAGGACCCGGTGCGTGGAGTTTTCTAGAGCTCCGTTTGTGCAGTACCCCCTCCTGGGGTTTAGAGACACGAAACGGACCTCCTTCCTCCCAGGCAGGTGGTTTGGGGAACTGAGGAACACGGCAGTGGGGCGAGAGGAAGAAGTCCTAAAACTCCGGAAATTTCTGATTTCCTGTGCTGAGTTTTATTATCACAAAGGAAGACAAGATTTAGGGCCTGACAAGAGTACGTGGGGTCCCAAGGGCCCATAATTCAATGCAGTTCAACACGGCTCACTCACCGCAGACACAAGGTGTACAAGCCAGGACGGAGGCAAGCACTTCGGCTCTGAAGGAAAGGAGCCGAGAGCATCCACTGGTTGGTGACGTGTTGTCCCCTTGGCACGCTGGGGGTCAGAATGTCAGTGTGCAAATCCCAGCTCTGCCCCTGCTAGCTCAGTGATGGCGAACCTTTTGAGCTCGGCGTGTCAGCATTTTGAAAAACCCTAACTTAACTCTGGTGCTATGTCACATATAGAAATTTTTTGATCTTTGCAACCATAGTAAAGCAAAGATGTATATTTTTGCTATTTATTTTATATATTTAAATGCCATTTAACAAAGAAAAATCAACCAAAAAAGAGTTCGCGTGTCACCTCTGACACGCGTGTCATAGGTTCGCCATCACTGTGGTCGTCATAAGGACGCGGTGAGTGGACACCTGGGAGGCAGGCCTGGTCCACAGTAAGCCCTCAGTGAGTTTTACCTCCTGGTGCTCTTCAAGAACCTCCAAGGACCTGAATTTTTGAAAAACACACATTCACCCCAGGTTCTCCCTGAAGTGGGCTGAATATATTGTAGGTCCGGGGTACATATATATCTAAGGCCATCCGCCTGCCCCCTATGTGACCACTAAGGCCATTCGAATGCCCCCTCTGTGACCGCCGTGGGCCAGTCCGTGCCGGCATTCACAGCTCGGGAGGCTCAGGGTGGGAGACAGGCTGCCCACATAATGGCAGTGTGACTCGGGAAGTCTCACAGCCCCACCGAGCCTCAGTTTCCCTCTGTAAAATGGGGATAATGATAATGCCTCCCTCACAAGGCAGCTGCAAGGACTAAATGGAAGTGCACCCAAAGCAGCAGCCACACCACTGTCTGTCCTATCCCCACCCCTGCTTCTCACGGCCAGGAGGGGAAGAGGAAGAGGAAGTGACTCCTGGTTTCCAAGGGCAACCCCGGGAAACACATCCGCAGGGGCACAAAGGGAGCTTTCTGCAGGGACACACACTGGGCAGGAACTCGCAGCCCCATCATGAGCCGGGCCCAGGAATGTCCTGGAGCCTCTGGCCTGAGGGGAAGGTGGACCAATGGCAACAGGAGCCCTGGCCCCCGGAAGGCCTCAGGGAGGCAGAGGCCCTGGGAGCTCCTGTACCAGCCCTTGTAAGATAGCAGCGTTCTAAGCACCCACCCCAGGAGGTAACCCACCCAGGGTCCCCTTAGGGAACCAGATCTGATTTCCCATAACCGCTTCAGGGAGGAGCACCAAATCCTGGGCCAAGGGGAGGGGGAGGCTGGCCCTGGGTCCAACCCAACCAACCCACCAAACTCGAGGTTTCAAGGAAACGGAGACGAGTGGGCCTCACAGGTGGCCACCTCACTTTACAGAATCAGAGCTGCCATGGGCATGTCCCTTCGCTGGGTCCCTGCAGAGCCCTGGACTGCAGCAGTCTCAGGACCAGGGTTCAGATGAAGTGGCCCATGGAGGTGGTGGCTGAGGCCCCATCAGGCTCCACATCTGTAAAATGGGGACCTGCCACCCACCTCCTGGGGCTGGAGGGCAGAACCTAAGAATGGTAGGTCCTCAGTCCCACCGGGCCAGCATGGCTCAGTCCTGGATGGTGGCTATAGCCCCGCCTGGCCCTCCCTGGCACCTGGGCTCCAGGCCCCGAGGAACCGAAAGCCCTTCTGTGACTGCGGCCCAGAGTCCCTGTGCATGTGGACTCGGGAGAGAACGTTGCTGGCCAAGTGATGACTCGGCTGTGTGGGGTGCCCAGGGCGGTGGTCCTCTTATGTATGCGAAAGTTAAAATACAAGAGGTGGGGCAGCCCCCTTCACCCCCAGGATCCTGCTCGTGTGTCCAAATGGGTAACCTCACATACGTTCCTGAGGTGTAGAGAAGATCACCCCCCTTTCTCTCAGTGTCCAGACCCAGGGACCAAGCTCCCACCGACCATCAGTGTGACCATCAGCCCACCAGACCAGCTGGCTGCGCATGCCCTGTGCTCACACAGGTCCCAGCAGTGCGCTGACGTGCCGGGGGTGTGAGGTGAGGGCCGAGATTCACATCCATCCCCTCAGCCGCTGGTCAGCAGAGGGAGGTCTTTGGGGCCCAAACCCCTGAGCTGGGCCCTCTGCAACCTGAGTGAGGAGACACCTGTCACGCTCTGGGTGTGGCCTTCAGGGGCGAGGAGGCTGGGAGGTGCCGGCCGGGAGCAGCGTTCCTGACCTGGCCAGTCCCCAGACACACAGAGAGGGCTTGGAAATGCTGAGTCCCAGACCTCACCCCAGGCGGCTGGCTTCGGTTTGGGAACCAGGCCCCGAGTTTCAGGAAGAGCCCTGGGTAGGTGTGACACCAGCAGGCCCTGGAGGCTCCCATCCAGAAACCCCAGGAAGCCCTGGGTCCCACACAGAGCCTCTGTGTTCAACAGGAAGCCCGTGGCAGAGTTGGGGGCAGGAGTGTCCTGGCAGAACCCCGGAGAGCACGGCCGAGGGCCTCGCACCCTGGGAACTCACCGGGCACGGAGAACGGGGACAGGAAGGCAGCCTCCACCGGCTCTGCCTCCGGGGGCGGCGGCGGGGGTGGGGGCTGGGGCTGCTGCTCCCCCGGGGGGTCCTCTGGGTTTTCCATGGGAATGTTCCCGTTTTTGATGTTTTCTTGCCTCCCATTTTGAAGTGGCTTTCTGCTCACACCGTTCGCTGAGTTGATCAGTCTCTGCCTCTGTGTGGATTGGGGGGGGGGGGGGGGCAGACAAACAAGACGTGACCGTGTTAGATGGCTCCTCAACATTCACACAGCCCTCGGAGGTTTCTAGAACACAACCCTGCACGGGTTTGCCTGTGAATGACCCAAGGACCTTGGAATCCACTGAAGTTCGCTCACTTCCTTTTGGACCAATACTAGCAAGCCTTTCGGGTATGGCCAGAGGCCTGGCCTCCTCTCCTTAGTGCCAACCTGACAACCCAGCCCATGACACTGAGCACAGTGACTGTGCCGGCTCCCCCAGTGGACGCTCCTAAGCCACCTGAAGACAGGAAAAAAGAAGTCCCCAAGGTAGCTGCTGCCCACCAGTGCCTCAGTTTCTCTCTAGAGCTGTTCTATGCATACAGAACAGCTGTGTATCCAGATATCTCTCTCTCTCTCTCTCTCTCTCTCTCTCTCTCTCTCTCTCTCTTTTTTCCCTCGAGAACATCTTCAAGAAACAAGCCCTACTTCAGACTGGCCTTTCTCCTGTTAGTTTCACTCTAGTGCTTGACAAACACTTAGTAAAACATTTCGACGTGGTGTCTGACTGCTGCCTACCTTACCCTCACTCCTGATCCGGTCGTTTGCTACTGCGGTGACATCGGGGGCTTCCTTCCTCACACAGGTACGGCGCTACACGCCCGCCTGGCCGAGGACGCGCTGGGGCCTGACACTAGGGAGTGCCATCACAAGCCAGGGCCTCCTCCACGGCCCCCCCGCTCTCACAGTGCTTTGAGGCAGGCTCACCTCGTTGATTATGATCCTGCTGGCCATCCGCAGTCGGGTCCTGGGCCCAAACTTATTGGTGATCATGACACGCAAGCCCGCCTCCGGGAAGCTGAACTTGGGAGGGCTGGAGCTCATGACCTCATCCACCATCACCACCGGGTTTTTGCTGTACCGTGGCTCCTCCTTCACTGTATTGAGCACAAGGCCATGATTAATGCTGAGGTCCCCCGGGGACACCCCCTAAGTGCTGGGGCAGCTGCCTGCCTGCCCCGCCCCCCTCCCGGTGCAGACTTCTTTCTCAGGCTGAGTCCCAGCAGCTTCAGCTCCTCCCACTAGTCAGGTGGCCAGTGGCGCTGACCCACCTGCCAACTTGAAGAATGAGACACAGCCCCGTGGTCCCCCCATTACAGGCCTCTCCCGGGCAGGCCCTCCACCTCCAGCCCCACTGCCATCGACGCCCCCTCTCCTGCCTGCCTGCCTTAAAATCGCTCCCGATTGGATCATGTGCCCCCTCTCTTCTGGGACCCAATGTGGCTAATGCAAGGGTCTTCCCGTCCCTCCTCTGAGCCTCCCTGGGCAGCCCCCGCCTCCCCCCCCGACGCCCCCCGCCATGACTGTGACGGGACCTTGCTCTCTCCTGATTACAGAGGCTCCAAGGAACCCCTGGGATGGAAAAGTCTCGAAAGCACTGGAGAGCACTGGCTCTGAACTTCTCACGAGGCCACCTGCTCTGTCTTTGAGGCACCACCTCCACCCGGCACAGAAGGATGCTTCTAACTTTATTCCCCTTGAGGCAGGCAGCCAGGGCAAAGCGCGGGCCCTGGACGAGGCCACTGAGACCCGGGAGGGCGGCCTGCCTGCTGAGGGCACACGGAGGGCTGCTGGCCGAGCCCAGCGTCTCTAGTGAACCTGTCACCCTCCAGCCGGGAGGCCGGTGTCTCTGACCCTATGCTTCTCTCCTCATGAGGCTGAAGAACCAATCTCCCCAGGCCTCACACCTCTCCCCGCCGCCTCCCTGAACACGCTCAGGGCCGGAGTCCTGGGGGATTTGACATCTAACTCCAGAGCCCCGAGGACCCTGGTGACAGGACCACAGAACAGGCGGCTTCCCTCCCAGGGGCTATGAAAGCAGATATGCCCACCCCTCTGCACGGTCACCAGCTCCCCGCTGACAGGGTCCCCAGGAGTGTCCTTCCCCGGTGATGGGGTAAGCAGGAGTGGTCAGGGTGAGCCCACAGGAGAGAGTTAATGGCACAAACAGGAACGAATGCACATGAGACACGCACCCTCACCCGACAGCAGCAAGGCTCAGCAGACAGGAGGCGTGTGGGTTAGAAACAGAGCCGGAGGGCCATGCATGTGCCGGAAGCGGACACTGACCTCTGGCGAGGCGTGCGCTGGGCCGGTGAGTGTTTCCTTACTGCACGTGTTATCGCTTGGGTGTGAGCGGATTACTTACAATTTAGAAGAGAAGAGGTAAGGAGACAAAGGCCGACAGGGATTGCCAGAGGCGAGGAGCGTGCGGAGGATGCCGAGAGTCTGGGGCAGCGTTCTCGATGGTGGCCCAGGTGCAGGGGTTACTGAAGGGAGGGTTAGTAGAGGGGCTGCTGCCACGGGGGTCTCAATGCTCGGGGCCTCTGGCCTTCGGGACGGCCCCTCTCCTGGCTGAATCCCATGACCCCGTCCCACTCTGAGGAGTAGGAGCCCGTGTGCCCACCGCCCCTCTCTCTGTGTAGCAGGGAAGCCACAATCCCCCTGCTCCGGACCCTGCGGAAGCCGGAAGAACCGCAGAACCATCCCTGTCCCGGGCACCGCCTTGGGGGACAGCTGGGCTCCCAGTGAGGGAGCCTATAGAGTGTGACACCTGACGCCCTGGGTACCTTGACCTGGTGCTGCCCGCCAAGTGTTTCCAAACCCAGGGTGGCTGCAGAGTGGTTCCAGCAGTTCAGCCAAGGCCGGATAGCACCCCCTTCCTTCCCTGCTCCAAGCCCAAGCAGAGTCCAGGGCCGGGGCAGCCCAGGGAGGCCCACAGGGAGCCCAGCCAGCGGTCAAGGTGGCACTGGCTGGCAGGCTGCGTGCAGGACCCCCAGAGACCAGCGAGACAGGCTGCACCCCTGCAGGGGCAGGACACGGGGCCTCCCAGCCTCGGTCCTGGGGCCCTTCGCTTGCTGGCCTGGGCTCTGCTTTCTTGAGCAGCAATGAAATGCGAAGTGAAAAATTTGTACAGGTTTGAGAAAACCCAGGGCCCTGGGGATGGGCCTCCTCCATCGGCCACACGGGCAGGAGGTAGCTCTCAGGAAGCGCTGACTCACCACTTGGAATCTCTCTCTGCCGTGAAGGGTCAGAGGCCCCGGGAACACTTTGTCCCGGACGGGAATCAGCCTGTCCTGGGGGACTGTGTGGGGACCTGGCTGCCACTGTCTATGGAGCTAAATCCAAAAACAGCAGCCTCAGGGTTCCTCCCCTGCTGAGGGGTTGCCCTGAAAATGGCTCTCCCCTGGGGCAGAGCACGGAGAACCAGGCCTGGGCACAGCCCGGCTCTGCAGGCCGCCTTTCCCTGTGGCTCACAGGTGGGCCTCTGGCAGCTAGGCTGTGGCCTTGGCCACACCTGCACCCCCAGCCCGGGAGGCTTCCTCCTTCTGCTGGAGAGAGTCAGCCCTCAGGAGTGGCGATGGACAGAGCGCCCTTGCCCGAGGTGCCCACGGGAGGTGCCCAGCAAGAGCCTAACTCACCCCAGGGGGAAGACTTCGGAGGGGCCAAGGGGTATAGATTTTGGCCCCACGTCCCAGATGCAGGCAGACAGGCTCCTCCAGACCACCTGGTCCCACCACTGAATTAGAGTCGCCTGAAAGAGGACTGACCTGCCCAGGGCCATGGGCAGAAGGGAAGAGAGCCCTCAGGTGGCCAGGCCCGCCTCTGAGCTTCACCAGCTCCGTGGCTGGAACTTGAGGGGTATGGCCTAAGTCCTGCTTTTCCATAAGAACCTGCTCAGGCTTAACACTGGCCTTGGGTGAGGAAGGGAGTGAATTCCCTCCCCTTCCTGGCAGCTGCCCCACCTGGTAACTGGCTGGATTAAGATAAAGTTTTTAAAGCAGCAAGTGGTCAGTAGACAGTTAGAGAACCGACAAGAGAGGACAAGGGCCAGCCCCAGAGCCCAGAACATCCAGACCAGGGGGCCAAAGAGAAGCTGGAGGCCGGGCTGCAGCCCCTGGGAAGGGCCCCAGGGAAGGCTCTCGGGGATGGTCTGGGAACTCCTGCTCAGCGCTGTGCCCGCCTGCCCTGGCCTAGCTGTTCCTCTGGGCAACCGGCCAGAGGTCTCTCCAGAACAGTCCTCTAGAACCGGGCCTGCTCTGTCACCCCAAGTCCTCGGCTTCCTGTCCCTGGCCTTAGACATGGGCTAGAGGTGTGAGTCCCTGCATCTCAGACAAGCCAGGCAGGCCTTGGGTCTTCCTACAGTGGCCCCGGGAAATCCCAGGCATGTGACTGTGGACATGTTCTTCCGTTAAGCAAATGCCAATCAGCAACATCTCCATCACGGACCCCCCTCCCTTAGGGTCCTGTGACCACAGGTGAGAGAGTGAGGATTTAGAGGGAGGGTATGTGTGTAGGAAGGGAAGGGACAGTGGTTTCACGACATGGCCACTCCTGTCTGCTCAGCCTTACCTGGCCCCAGCAATGGCATGGAAGGGTCATCAGAGCTACTACCACAGTAATCATTACCGTCCTCCAGCTCGCTGCTGACCGTGTTGCCATTGGCAATGGCCTTTTGTTTGATTGTGAAGAAGGCCTGTATCTTCACATTGTACCTGGAAGGTAAGGCAGGAGGAGGTCAGAGCTGCGGGAGAGACCTGGCAGGGGAGAGGGCTGGGCAGCCCCTCCCCTCACACCCCTGCGCACACAGTCAGGTGGCCCTGGACTGTCCCATGAGGGACCTGGGGAGCCAAAGCTTTGCACCCGCATTGACAGCATTCCTAACAGGAACTGGAGAACAATGGGCAGTCTGACGGCCCTGCTCCCACTGACATGTGTGTGTGGGGGGGCTTCCTGGGGGCGTGAAAAACCTTCAGCCCAAGGAAATGCCGGATGCCTACTCACTGCGGGCCACAGGCCTGCCCGGAGCAAAGGAGCTCGGCTCAGCCTCAGGGAGCGGCTCGAAGGAGGCGTGATAGGCCTGTCCTCTCTCCCACGGCTGAGTCTTTGGGTCTCCCCCGTGTCACTGACAGCAGCACCCCGGCCCACACCCAGGCGGCCCCCCTCGCTGAAAGGCACTCAGAGAGGGCATCTTTGAGGGGCGATTCTCCTGCAGTCTGACTGCTCATCACCCATTTTTATAAAACATTTTGATTCACAGCCTCATAAAACTCAGTGCTGTTTTTTTAACCAACTGCAGAGATATAAACAAGAAGATAAAACCTGAATATGGCTCACCTCATGGGCAGTTTTTTCTTTTCCTTGTTTTTTTTTTTTTAATGGGGAAAATCATATACAACATAAAATGTGCTACTTTAATGATTTTCCATTTTGCAGCACTCAATTCAGTGGCATTAGTTACAGTTACAATGGGAAATCGTCACCATTATTTCTATAACTTTTTCAGCACCCCAAACAGAACTCCTCGCCCACTGACCCATTCATGACTAATCACCCCTCCTCCAAGCACCTAGGAATCGCTAACTCGCTCTCTGACTCTATGAGTGTGACTCTCCTAAGTACCTCATGCAAGCGGCATCAGACACTATCTGTCCCTTTGTGACGGGCTCCTTGCACTCCGCCTGTTTGCAAGGTCCACCCTCGGTGCAGCATCTGACAGAACCCCTCCTTTTTAACGGCCGGATAATATTCCTGGTAGGGAGTTCTGGGATGCTTCTGACCTGGGCAGCTCGCATGAGGCCACAATCCCGGGCCCTGTGTCTGCATCCTCCACGCGGAGAGTGGCGCCCCCTGCAGTCGCATGAGGCAGCGGCCCCGAGAAGCGCCGTTTTACGAAGCTTAGAGCAGAAGCGAGGCTGCCTAGCTCTTTTGAAAAGAGTGGAATTGACTTACCAGATTTATATAGATAGCAAAAAAAAAAAGTCACCCTGGGCATGGAGTGGGGTGGGAGAGAGGTCCTCTTTTGCTACTTGTTTGGGAGTAGCTTTGTCTTCTACCCACCAGCCCTGACTCCCCTGGCCTGGTGTGAACAGCACCCCAAAGCAGTGTCTGCACATCTCCCTCCCGTTCCAGCCTCCCCAGTGGGGTGTCCCCCAGAGAACTGGGGCTGGCCAGAGGCTAGACGTGAATCAAGGCGTCAGACAGCCCAGAAGGAGAAGAGAAAGGGCACTTACTTCATGATCAGAATGTAAAACCCGTACAAGATGATGAGCACCAGGCCTTCCCACCTCAAAGAGAGAAAGGAGGCCGTGGTTAGAGCGAGAAGGCCCGCGCTGGAGGCTGGGCGAGACCGTGCAGAGGGTGAAGCCGGTGTCCTTCCCCGTGCCCAGCGCCTGGCCCACACCCGGGACCCAGGCATGCAGGTGTGTGCCCCAGCCCGGCTGTCCCGCACACTAAAGCTGTCTGGGTGACAGAGAGAGAAGGCTGAGAGTGGGGTCCTCTCAACTCCAGGGTGCTGCAGGGCTCAGCTGGAGTCCCCCTGCTACCAGAACAAGGAGGGCCAGGGCCACCACATCCCAGGACTTCGGAGGGGAGAAGCCAGGAGTCACCGAGACTTGACACGAAGAGGCCCCATGATCACCCGAGATTCTGGCCACGAAGCAGAGAAGCTGTGGGTGCAGGCGGAAAGGGGCCCCAAGAGCTGCCTTAAGAGGGGGCATAGGACCTCCTGGGCGCACAGTAGGGCAGGGTCGTTCCGAGACATGGAAATACCGCTGTCTCGCATGTGCAGTGCCCAACTCCGGACACGGTGGGGTTTCTGTGGCTCTGACCACAAGCCTTCGAGGAGCCACACAGCTTTAGTGTGTCCGTCCATTTGACATATGTGCCCGGCATGGGCTAGCATCGCTTTGGGAGCTATTCCTTGTCTGACAGGAGCCCAAGGACCAGCAGAGCCCCAAAGGGACTTGGAGGTGAACTGACGCCCACCCCCAACTCCATCCACAGGTGAGGAAAAAGAGACCGGGGAGTGGAGAGGTTCCTGGGTCACAGGGCAGGTTAGGGGTCAGGGGGGGCCAGCACCAGGCTTCCCTGGGCCCACAGCACGCAGCCCCTCACAACAGGCCTCCTGAAGATACCCCGCAAATAGTCACGCACAGGATGCAGATTCTGACTGTCATGCAGAAGACATTTTTACGGCTTATACGAATGTAAGATACAGTCATGCTCTAGAGAGTGCAAACAACAACCTTTTCTTTAAAGTTTGCACTGTATGTATCTTAGTTAAGGAATCATTCCCGCCCTCAAGGTCATGAAGGTGAGTCCCTATGTTTTATTCTATGTTATTTTAATGCTGCTTTTTACAAGTGAGGACTTTTGCTCACCTGGAATTTATCCTTCCATAAGGGGTGAGGGACAGAGCTGATGGTATCTTGTTCTGCATGGACTCCTGGTGGTCCCAGCAGCAGCTGAGACCCCCTCCCCAACTCACTGCCTTGTCACGCATGTCACCTACCATATCCCCCAGCCCAGAAACGGGCCTACGACTGGGTTCTCGGTTCCATATTCCATACTGGCCTATGCGTCTCCCTGTGCAAAATACTGCACTGTTTGAATCATTTTAGCTTTATCCTGTATCTTGGTGTCTGGTAGGATGGGAGTAGTAAGGGAAAGCATGTTTGTCACTTTGAAAGGACAAATAAAGGCCTGATTACTTAGACAGTGGTTCTCAACCTTCTGGCCCTTTAAATACAGTTCCTCCTGTGGTGACCCAACCATAAAATTATTTTCGTTGCTACTTCATAACTGTAATGTCGCTACTGTTATGAATCGTCATGTAAATATCTGATATGCAGGATGGTCTTAGGCGACCCCTGTGAAAGGGTCGTTCGACCGCCGAAGGGGTCGCGACCCACAGGTTGAGAACCGCTGACTTAGAATCATACCCTTTTTATTTTTACCAAGTTCATAAGCCTGAGATGCTTCTGACCTGGGCAGCTTTTATTGTTTGTAAAAATAATTTTGAAGAAGATTCAATGAACCCAATAAGGACGCTAACAAAATAGGAGGAGAAACAAACTTTAAAAACTTACCACACAATTTCTTCATCATATATGAACTGGAAGGCAAAAGAAAGAAAGGGAGGGGGACACATTTACTCAAAAAACAACAGAAAAGCAAAAAACAAACACAGGCCTGTCAGCACCCAGGGCGGCCACACCTCTGCGTTTCCACAGGAAGCTGGGCCCCTCTCTCCATTCTGGGCTCCCCGACTGCAGAAAGTGACCTGGCCTTAGGGGAAACCCAGGTCAGCAGGTGCAGCAACCTGCAGCCCCGCAGGGCAGGGGCCTCTCAGAGAAATGGCCTGAGCTTCGTCATGGTCCAAGTAGCGGCTGGGGCCAACCTGGCAGGGGCCGGCCCTCACTAACGGAACAGAGTTGCTGCAATCACGAATCTTCAAAACTGAAGACATCCATCCATCCATCCATCCTACCTGCCTACTTATCTGCCTGCTTATTTACTTACCTACCTATGGTGCCTGCATGTATAGGAGAGAAGGGGTGTTATTTTCTGAAAAATAAAGAGTAAACCCTTGGGAACTTCTGGGGGCATAAGACCCACTTGTACCGTTTGAAGGGAGGCAGGGGGCAAGGGTGGGGGACTCCATGGTTACCTAATCGGGCACTGACATTGCCCGACAACCCCACCCTGCATCTTTGCCATGTGGTCCAGAGGAGGATGCTATTAGTTATCTATCACTGGAAGGGAGAGGGAGAGAGAGGGACATCAATGTGGGAGAGAAATAGTGACCAGTGGCCTGTGAGCACCCCAGCCGAGCCCAATGGGGACAGGTAGGTGGAGGGGCTACCCCCACCAATCGGATCCTGGAGACACAGAGGTTCCCACAGGGGATGCCAGCAGAGGCCAGGGGCTTCTGTCTGAACCTGGGCCCACTGCACTCCGCTCCTGGCCGTCATGTGGGCGGCACACACAGGAGCTGCTTTGGGGTGCCGCTTCTGAGAGGGTCGTGCTAGCGGGGCATCACCGGGAGGCTCCCCAAACTCAAGGCTTTGAGAAAGTGGCACTCAACCTAGGGAAATTTCGGGACACTCATGGAGCTATTTTTAGATTTTACAACCCCATGGGGGGCCCCTGGCGTTCAGAGGCCTGGGATGCAGGAAACGGTTCTATTGGAGTTTTCTCACATTGGGCACAAGTGTTAAGCGTCCTGCTAAATATTCAGGTAAATGACAAAAATAAATAAAAAACGGGAGCCTAGAACAGTTGTTTTTTACATGGGTTTAAGTAAATATTTAATTTTCCAGTGAGGTAACTGTCATGCCATGGGGGGAAATTGTACTTGGCTCTTTTAGGATTTTATCGGGAGTCGTTCATAATTTGGGGAAATGACATCATTGATGTCGGCACCACTCAGGGGTTTAAGGGACAGCCCAGCACACGGGCCTAGGTCTGAGCGGACGGACAGTTGTCAGGCTGCTGTCCATGGGGGGTGGGGGGGGACCAGCAGATTACATCATCGGGTGTTCTAGCAGGATCCTGCCAAAACCTTTATACACTGAAAAACGTGTTCTTTTGTTATAAATTACTTTTACTTGTCCTGTATAGTTTAAGGCATTATGGTTTTTTTAAAATACATATATTTGTATTGATTTTAGAGAGAAAGGAAAGGAGAGGGAGAGAACCGTCAACGTGAGAGAGTTATATTGACCCGTGGCCTACCTCCCACATGCACCCCAACTGGGGACTGCACCCTCACCCGGGCATGTGCGTTGACCGAACCAGCAACTTCTTGGTGCACGGGACGACGCTCAAGCAACTGACCCACACCGGCCACGGCTGGTTTTTGTTCATTACGTCCAGGTAAATTATTTTATCTACAACTCATTTTCTGGGGTGTGAGAGGTGGCCTCTCGGGTGGCCCCAAGGATCCCACCACCTGACCTCACGCTCCCCTTGTGTACAGGGCCTGGACCTAGGACTTGCCCCTAAGAAACAGTGGTCACGGGCGGTCACTCCCGGGATCAGGTCACAAACACTGGCTTCCATCCTGGCTCCTCCCTTCCTCACTCTGAAAGCCCTGGGCTGCCCGGGGCAACACGGCTCTGAGAGTGGATTCTCACCCGGGTTTGTGGGGAGGGGGCTTTGAGGTGACTATACCCCTGACGACACCTGTGAGGGAGCCTGAGCCAGGAGACTCCGCTCCAGAATTCAATCCACAGAAACGGGAGTAATAGCGCTTGTTGCTTTAGGCCACTGAGTTTGGCGGGAACTTCGCACACAGTGACAGACCACTAACAGAAGGGATAGGACTGTCACACACAGTAGGCGCTGGATCTTGTAAGGTTGGGAACTGTCACTCTAGGGCGCATGCCCTAAGAACTGGGCGCACCACGCCATCCGCCCTCTTTGAATACAACCTGCCCTTGAAAACTCCTTTTGGATTGAAATTGCTTCCCTGTGGGTGACACACTCTTTGGCAGTAGCCTGACTGTGTGTCATGTGCTTCACAGTCATGTGCCATGATGTGATCTCGCCCCTGAGGGAGCGGGGGGACACAGGGATACCCTCACACACACCAGCAAGCCCCAGGGATCCGTTTCATCTCCTCTGCCCCCTCACCCCCACCCCCGGCTGCCCACCCCGCTGCCAACTCCGACAGCTCCCAGCTGCCTCTCTGCTCTGCTCTGCTCTGCAGTGAATGAGACCTCAGGAACTCGGCTCCTTAGAAAACGGGCTCTGCGTGAGGGTCCCAGGGCCTCGGAGGAGATGCGTGAGGGGAACCGCGTGGACCATGCAACGTGCTTGGCTTTGTTGAGGCCTTTTTGCCCTCAAGGTGGCCCCTGGATTTGCTCCAGATGCGAGGGGTCAGTCAGGGACGAGATTCTGGGGACAAGTCGGCACAGGCAAGGCGACTGGTCAAAGCGACTGCAGTGACTGGGTGCTGGGGGTTCTCTGGTCACAGGGCCAGGGACAAAGATGGGGGGAGGTCCTGCGAGCTCAGGGGGAGGGGCACTCACGGCGATGAGCACGATGACAGAGAGGGTGTAGTACACGGAGTCTCGGCACACGGCCCACCACGTCAGCTGGACCACCTGCGCGCAAAGGGCTGTCAGCGGCTATTGGCTGGAGAGATGGGGGAGGGAGCGGGGACAGCTGCTGGGGGGGGGCTTCCCCCACCCCCCAGGCCCCACAGGGACACGCCCACGGAGCTCCTCCTAACTGTGCCACCCGAAACAAACGCGCCTGGCTGCGCTGTGCTCTCCATTAGATTCTGGCGACAGAATGGAGCCATGGAATGGACGCTCGTAAGTGAAGGGAAAGCTGGCCCTGCTCCTCCCAAGTAGCAACGTCTCATGCTGCACGGCAAAGCCCTATGTGGAGGCGGAGGCCAGAGGCACTGGCTCCTCCCAATGCTGGAACCTCCTGGTGGTAACTGGCTACCCTCCTCTGCCTCCCTCGGCCAAGCAGGGCCTACCCATGAGCTCAATGCTCTGAGGTCAAGTCTAACCGCACCACCCCCACCCGCCTCCCGTGGCCTGAGCATCAGGAAGATGCAGGTGGGTATTACGGACAGGCCAGTTCCATGTTCCCTGCCGGGAGGCCCAGGGCCCCAAACACTTCCCGAATCCAGCTCGGGGCAGGAGGAGACAGGCACGCTCAAAGCCTCGGGGGTCAGGGCCATGGCCAAGGCTGGGCCTTGGGTCTCCCCACTGCTGTCCCTCACGTCACTTCCCGAGGGGAGAGAAACCACTGACCTGCCCCGCGAATAATCCACAAACGCCGATGATACACAGGATGTTGAACACGGCAGAGCCCACGATGGTCCCAACCCCGACGTCTCCGTGGGTGATGAACACGCCTGCAAGGGAAAGGCACGAATCCTCGCCTGCAAGGCCAGGCCTGCCCCGTCCGCACACCCAGGCTGGCTGCAAGGTCTGTGTCCCCCTGACTACTTCCCCTCCCAAACTGGGGGAGTTGTTCTCACTACCAAACAGAACACCCGCGATGCCCTGAAAGGCCAGCTACTCTAATTCTTCCATTTTCTCGAGCAGCTTATTTAAGACATAATTCACATGCCATAAATTCACCCATTTAACCCTTTGCGGTCGTTTGTCTACTCTCAGCCACCAAAGCTTTTTTACCGTTCCGGTCGTATGTCTGCTCTCAGCTACCACAGCAAGGAACCGTACGAATCTTAACTCTATTCATTCATGTATCAGTTCATAATTTCTCTGAAAGCTCTTAAGTGTAAAGCGACCTTGTCACGAACCAAAACACTGCCCCGACAAATTGGAGATATAGAAACTCAATATAAACAAACGCGGTCGTTCCACACTCGCCATGCAAAACACCGTGGCGAGTCAGTCGCCTTTTGAGAGTGAAGAAATCGACAAGCTTCGGAGATACTTCGCAGAATTTCAAATAAAGCTTTACAAATTACGTTTAACTGTAATTAGGCATTCTCGCTTGTTAAGATATTTCAAAATAATACTCCAAAATGGCAAAAAGAAAGTTACCAAAAGAAGTGTACTGCGAATCTGAAAGTAACGATGAAGAGTTTTACTTTGGCACCTTGAATACTGACTCTGACGTAGAAAGTGATAACGTTTGTAGTGATTCTACTAGTAGTGACGTAGTTCCAAAAAAAGAATTAATAAATCTTGTTTATCCTTCATAATCTTGCATGTTATGTATCACTGCTCTTTCAATGGAAATTAATTCCGACCAGTACGACACCCATGTCCAAATTTAATACGACCACAAAGGGTTAAAGTATCAATTCAGTGTTTTGCAGTATAGTCACAGAATTGTGCAACCATCACCACAACCTAATTTGGGAACGTTTTCATCGCCCCAAAAGGAAACCCTGTACCCATTAGCACCCCTGCTCCACCCATTAGTGGTTCCACCCCAGGGAACCACTAATGTACTCCCTGTCTCTCCAGCTCTCCCATTTTACAGATGAGAAAAACTGAGGCCCAGAGCTGACAAATGCCTTGACTTGTCAGGGCACCAAACCTGGGCTCTCTCCAGATCCTGTGTCTCTGGCTGGTGGGATTTCTTACCAATGACAGAAGCAAACAGCTCAGGCGTTGAGCTTCCCGCAGCCATGAAGGTGGCTCCAGCCACATCTTCACTCAGATGGAGTTTCTGAAACAGAAATGACCGCAGACCCTCAGGCTGTGACGTGGGGGCAGGGGATGCACTGACTGGACACCTGGGCAGCCAGGGAGAGCGTGGAGTCAGCTCCTCCCCTGGCATCATCTCCTCCCTGGACCAGAGCACAGGCCCTCAGCCGCTCTACAGGGCCCTCAATCCAGAATCCCACCCCTCCCCCATCTGGAGGTGAGCACGTGGCTCCCTCGGAGGGGGCCAGGGCAGGTGAGACAAAGCCTTTGCATACTTATCCAGGTCACTCATTATTTAGGGGACCCAGGTCAAGTAGCCAGTCCTGATCTTTGCTCAGCACCCAGGTAAAGTACCGAAGTGCCTGCCGCTAACAATCCATGTCCCCAGCTGTAAAAGTCACCCCAATATGGCCTCAAACAGCTGGGAGATTTCGCACGGGTAAAGTGTGGCAAAGCCCTGAGCAGTCTGCACACAGTAGGTGCTTTTCCTTCCTTGACTGGAAGCCAAGACTAAGGCAGGATAGAAACAGACTGGGTCTTGTATACGGGTAGGAAGAAGGAAGTGGAAACTTAACGAAATTAAAAGGAGGAAATGTCACCCTGCTGAGGTTGGAACAGAGGGTGTTCCCTGCCCTTGCAGCTCTGCCTCCTCCCCTGGGACACAGATCCCCACCTGGTACAAGCCTCTGACACCTGGTTATGGCAAATGCTCCCTAACTAACCAGGTTTGGCATAACTGCGGCAGCCAGCGGGCCTGCCTGCCTTGGAGCCAGACATGCTGGGTAGCGGTTACGCGCTGGGAGCACGTTCTCCTGCCAAGTCTGGGAAAGGATGCTGGCTGCCCGCAAACTCTAATCTGGGTGTTTCAGAGTGAGACTTCGCCATGGTGACACCGAGTGACCGGCCTGCCAGGCTGCACTGCCAGGCGCTCCCAGTCCCCCTCGGCCAGGCACCGACGTGCCACAATCACCCCCAGCCCCTCCCAGACTTCACCGCAGGTCCCAAGTCTCTCCCACGCACCTCGCAGATCTTTTCCAGAGACGGAACGAAGAAGTCATCGCACACGATGGCCAGGGCGTAGAACATGTATAGAGCCTGCGGTGGAAGCGGGACAGAGAGAGTCAGCGAGGGCACCTGCCACCGAGAAGGCACGGCCGGGCATCCATCACACCCAAACCAGCCTGCGGGCAGAGGTGGGGCACACAGGCAGGCCTAGAGGAAAGTTCTGGCACCACACAGACTGACTCCACTCCCTCAATCCCCGCCCTGACAAAACGGGAAACTGAGGCCCAGAGGGGACTGAAACCCAGGCCACCTGGCCTTGTGCTCGGTCCTCTCGCCTTAAAGCAGCAGCTCTCCCAGCAGTGTATGCCCTCAAAAGGCAACACCCAAACTTTGAGGAAAAGCATTTAAAATCACCATTTTGAGCCTGGCTGGGAAGGCTCAGTGGTGGAGCACTGATCTATGAACCAGGAGGTCATGGTTTGATTCCCGTCAGGGCACATGCCCGGGTTGCGGGCTCGATCCTCATCACTGATGTTTCTATCTCTCTCTCCCCGCCTCCCTTCCTCTCTGAAATCAATCAAAATGTTTTAAAATCACCATTTTAAGAATTTAAAAATAATAATCCTGATTTTCCTCTAGTTTTAGTGGAGGCACCGTTTCTTGAGATCTGGCATTTCCCGGGGTGCCACCTGACGTTGGCACAAGTCACTGACAATGAGAGGTTCATGGGACAGAGGGTCTGGATTCTAATGCCGATGCCCACACTTATTTGCCATGTGAGTTACGTGGCAAGTTACGTCTCTAGGTCTCAGTGTCTGCATCTGTTTAATGACAGAGTGAGAAGAGATCAGTCGCTTCAGAATGGCTTTCCATCCAGCACCCCTCACCTGCCCTGTCCACCCAACGCAGCTCTACTGAGCTCACCTCGGTGCCAGGCCCTGTGCTCAGCATCAGGGGTGCCCAGTGAGGACACCAATAAAAGCCTCTGCCTCTTGTCACTTAGCTTCATGGGGGACAAACAAGTGGGCAAATACAGTATCTCTTACTGCCTGGGAAGAGGACGTGCAAAGGTCCTGAGGCAGGCGTGCGCTCAGTGCATGTGAGGAACTGCAAGGTCCCTGGCGCAGGTAGAACACAGTGAGAGTGAGGTGGGAAATGGAGGAGGGGAGGCTGGAGGGAGAGGCAAGGATGAGGACTCACAGAAAAGAGGCGAGACTTTACCCTCAGCACTGGGGGGAGCCACTTCTCTCCGAGAAGAAAACGCAATGTGAGTACCCTGTGTGCAAAGGGGGGCCGGCCGAGCTGCTCCACCCACAACAGCGTGACACTCCGACAACCTCACAGTTACTGACTACGACCAATAAAATAAACAGGAGACACGGCAGCTGTGGCCGAGGCATCCGGGGCAGGTGTCCACTGCCGTCCAGGTGTGGCCGTCCCTGGACTTGACTATCTTTGGGAGGAAGCAAAATGAAACAAATACTGGGGGTGCAGATAAAGGAAGAGTGAGCTGGCAGAGACCCCACTACAAATCTCAGGATCTTGACTTGAACTGACACCCCCAGAAATCCCCCCCAACATTGTCTCCCAGGCAGAGGGTGTTCCGCGAGGCCGGAGCCTCTCACTCCCCTGAGATCTCAGAAACACCGGAGAGAAAGGGGGGCCAAGGAGGGGCTACTGCTCCCCTCACTTGAAGCTGGCTCTAAGGCTGGGGCCTTCTCTTCCTCCAAAAAAGGGGTCAGTAAACCCTTTCTTAAAGGGCCAGACAGCAAGTACTTTAGGCTTTGAGGTCTTTATTGCTGTAAAACAGCCATGGAATGGGTGTGCCTGTGTTCCAATAAAACTTTATTTATAAAAACAGGAGGTGGGCTGGAATGAGCCCTCCAGCCACAGTCTGGCAATCCCTGCTCTAAAGGGTTCCCGTAAAATTCCCGAGGGGCTCTGCGGTTCCAGGTTTTGTCACGGCAATGCCAAGCGTGCGGCAGAGCAACAAAACTAAGGGCTGAATTCACACTCTCTTAGTGAAGAAGGGGGGGAGTGCATGAAAAAACAACAAAAACAACAACAGAGAAACTAGGAAGGTAATAACTCTATTACAGAAATCATATACAGGCCTGTCATTCGAGATCTGCCGACGATCTTCATTCTAACCTCCATTTCCATTAACGGCGCATCCTGTTAATTAAAACTTCACTCATTCATTACCCACTGCTGGCTGCTACCAATGTGAGAATCCCAGCTTTTACTTTCTTAATTATCTCTTGCAAAGACTAGTATCTGGTTGGGTTTAAATATATAAGCAGATGGTGCTGAGCGGTCGGGAACCTAAGCAAGAGGAAACTGTGCTGTGTCTGATCCGGTGGCCACCTTCCTACCACAATGGGGCTGGCAGGCCTTTCCGCCCAGGGACCCGGAGTTAACTACCGGTGGCTCCCTGGACATGGAGTCTCTGTCACAGCTCCTCGGCTCTGCCACAGAGGCAGAAGCAGCCACTGGTAACACAGAAATGCATGGGAACGGCCGTGTTCCAATAACACTTTATGTACAAACACGGACGGTGGCCACAGGCTGTGGTTCGCCTACCCCTACCCAAGACAAGCGACTTTCACCCATAACGTGGGTTTGAACCCACGATTCCTTTTTGAGTGGCTACATCCCCGCCACCATTGGGCATCAAGGCCCGTCTGAGTACAGGGGAGGTTTGAGACGTGCACCGGAGTTTTACGCTACCGCCCTGCAAGGTGGTAGATTTGGGGGGATCATGGCAGCAAGCACGCGCAGAGCACTTACTATGTGCCAGGCAAGGCCTGCTGCACTCGGCCTACATTCACTTGCAGGTACGCGCCTGGGAAAGACGCTGTCACGCCTGCTGGGGTCCAACCCCAGCAGGTCCAGGGGTCCCCAAAGGTGTGGACAGAGTCGGCGAAGAAGGAATGACACGGAGACAGCGTTCAGTTGATCAGCAGCCTAGCCAGGATCTCTAGCCAGGATCTCCAGCCAAGTTCTGTTCAGGATCTCCAGCGAAGTTCTGGTTAGGATCTCCAGCCAGGTTCGGTCGCCAGGTTCTGTAGCCGGGTTCTTCAGCCAGGTTCTGTCTAGGTTCTCCAGTCAGGTTTAGTCACCAGGTTCTAGTCAGGTTCTCTTGCCTTGTTCTATCCAGGTTCTATAGCCAGGTTCTGTCTCTAGGTTCTTTAGCCAGGTTCTCTCGCTAGGTTCTGTCTCTAGGTTCTGTGGCCAGTTTCTGTCCAGGATCTTTTGCCATGTTCTCTCGCTAGGTTCTGTCTCTAGGTTCTGTCTCCAGTTTCTGTCCAGGATCTTTTGCCATGTTCTCTCCAGCGAAGTTCTTCTGTCTCTAGGTTCTGTGTAGGTTCTGTGTCTAGGTTCTGTGTCCTGTTGTCTTGTTACATCTGTATTTATACCAGTTGATTCCAATCCTATCAATCTCTATTCCAAAGGTTAGGGCATTTCTTATCTCCATTCCAGGGAGTAAAGATTATGTAGCTTAAGCATGATTGTTCATAATTAAAGTGATTAATTACCCGCCTGGCACTTAGTTAAGGGGTTTTATTCCCTCCCTAACTTCAGAGGAAAATCCCTACCTGGGGAAACAACCTTTCTCAGAGAGGTGACCTTGGTTAAAACACATAGTGCCAAGAAGGTGAGCAAGCCGAAACCGGTTTGGCTCAGTGGATAGAGCGTCGGCCTGCGGACTGAAAGGTCCCAGGTTCGATTCCGGTCAAGGGCATGTACCTGGGTTGCGGGCATATCCCCAGTAGGAGATGTGCAGGAGGCAGCTGATCGATGTTTCTCTCTCATCGATGTTTCTAACTCTCTATCTCTCTCTCCCTTCCACTCTGTAAAAAATCAATAAAATATATTTAAAAAAAAAAAAAAAAGAAGGTGAGCAAACATATTAAGAACAGTATGCCATATATGCCAGGTCCCTTGAAACAGCAAGGATGGACCGGCTCCCGGCACACGCCCATTGAGAGAAGCAGAAAATGAGGCACCAGGTGACCCAGATTCTTGTCTTGGCTCGGGCCACGCACTAGGTGACACGGATCACGTCACCTAACATTCCAGACTTTGTTTTTTTGTGGGTCCAGCACCTGCCCCCCTCACGGGCTCTGACAAGGACTGCACATGACCTTGGACATGCCGTGGCTCAGCTGTGCTCTGCGGACAGGCTCCACCTGCATCGCCCCCCCCACGCCACCCCCGCCATGGGAGCACCTGCCCCGTGAGGGCCACTTACACCGAGGATGTGCAGCAGGACGGCTCCGTGCTGTCGCTCCGTGTTGGAGAACAGGTCTGTGGGGAACTCGTGAATGGCTGGAAGACAAGAGGACACGGCAGTGTTAGTGCTGAATGGGAGCTGAGGCTCAGGGGCGGGTCTCAGAGCAGGACCCAGGCCGAGGTGGCGCAAGGGAGAGGGGAGGGCTGAGAGCACTGGTCCTGGTCCCTGGTCCCTGGGCCCCCGCAGGTCCACTCAGGTGCCAGGTGTGCTTCCACTAGCATCTTGGGTCATCGCACACCACGGGTCGGCCCTCCTCTGGCCCCAAGCATGTCCCTGCCGGGTGGACACTGCCACTCTCATCACCTGGGGTGGTGGGCAGCCTGCGAGGTGCGGAGCCCTCTGTGCCGGAAATCAAACACTTGGGGTTCGGGTACCATCCCTGACACCCCATGACCCTTCACAAGGTGTCTGAGCACCAGGTCTGCCTTTCAGGCCCTGGGAACACTCCTGGGTAATGAAGGAATCATTCCTCTGCATCCCCCATTCGAGATGACCAATGGATAAGTACTTTGTGTCTGTGGGTCCCCTGTCAGACACCCCACACCCCAACATCCTTCCTCCTCACATCAGCTCGACCGGAAGCTTCTAGAAATCAGGGACCCACACTGCCCTGCACTGCATTCTCTGTGCCTCGGCCAGGCTGCACACAGTAGGTCCTCAATGGACCTTAAAAGTCAATTGAATAAACAATGATAAAATACTAACACCACTAACAATATGTATCAGCTGGTCCTATTAGAATACTTGTATTACCTTCAGAAATCCCATAAATAAACTAGAATGGCCTGGTTCATGGCGGGCGCTTGATAAATGCTTATTAAATAAACTCCCAGGAAAAAAAAAAACTCCCTTCTCTGTAAACGTCATTTGGCCCCAAGCTCTGAAAGCGATGGTTTCTCCTTTATACGGAAACTTCTCTGGTTTTTAAGATTAGATTCTCCCACTAAGACACAGAAAACATCTGCTCCCCACACACCCAGAAAACGCTCCCGCTGTACAACAAGCCGCAATTTAATGAAACATAGATTCTTTCACTTCTGGTGTTTTGTGTGTGTGTGTGTGTTTTGTTTTTTTTTCTGTAACCAAATTTATGCAACGGAATTGCTCTGTCAGGTCAAGGGCATGGCTCCGCTCCAAGGCCTGCCGGCTCAGGGAGGGAGCACTGTTTCCAGGAGAAATGATGTAACTAACTGTCTGGGATCGACAGACATTTCTGCCATGAAAATTCGAGATCGCCCCTGACTCTCCAAACCAGTGTTCTGAGCGCTGGTCATTTAGCCAGTCCCGGGAATGCTTTGAAAATTAGAATAAAGCAATGCTGCTGCCTTGTTGCTTCGAGGACATTATCTTCTGGCCTCCGGCAGGGAGGGAACGTGGATTATAAATGGCTTTGTCCTTGCTGGGAACAGAATTCTGCTTCAGCCACAGCGCCCGGCCCTGCAGCCCCACGCACACGCTGCAGGCTGCGGAGGGGGGCAAATGCCACTCAGGCCCTCATTTGCCAGCAAAGACAGCGAGTAACCAGCAGCGCTGCCAGCTGCCAATGACCCCTCGCCCTCTGTGCCCACCCAAGTCTTCGGGACACATCCTGACCCCGTGAGGCAGGCACTGCAGCCAAAAACGTCACTGCTTTCCTGATGAGGCTCAGAGGGGAGAGCGACCGGCTCAAGGCCCCCGGCCACCTGAGCCAGGACTCACAGGGGTCCCTGTGTTCCCCTCCCTGGTCAGGGGCTGGTCGAACACGACTGGAAACCGCCCTGCACTGGCAGACAGGAGACCTGGATAGAGTCCTGGCTCAACTACCCACGGGCTTCTGGGACCCTGGCTGAGTCACTTAATCTCCCTGTCCCTTTATTTCTGCAGCCACGGCCTGCGGCCACTTGAGGTAATGAAACAGTCACCATTACCGGCTGTCAAAGGCTGCAAGCAGGCAGGTGGCCACCCTGCCCTCCCCAGGCGGCAGCTGGTAACTGGGACCAGGTGCATTCCCAGTTCAGGGGGTCAAACCCCCTGGAAACTGGTGCTGGGGGTGCAGGCCATGGGGCATGCATGGCCAGAACTCTGTCTCCCCCTTCCTTGTCACCAATAGCAACAACTCCACTGCAGACGCCTGTGCAGGGCTCAGCACACGGTCCCTAGAAGCAGGTGACTTACGGTTCAGGAAGTGCCTCTGCTCCTTATTTCTGTCATGACCTTGGCAAGTTACTTAACACCTCGGGGCAATTCCCTCACCTACACGGGCCAGGCTGCTGCAGGGATTAAAAGAGAGGGAACGTCTGCACGACACTTAGCCAGTCAGGCTGTAAGGACCTTGACTCACAGACTCCTCCCTTGAAAGGGCAATGATCCCCAAAGAGAAGGTAAAGCCAGTTTAGTGGGGAAGAGAGTGGGCAAGGAAAGACAGGCTGTGTTACCACCTCAGTGTTGATGGGGTTTAAATCCCAGCTTCCTGAGGAACCTTTTTTTCTCTTCTCCGGGGGTTTGCTGAGATCCAAAGCCCCATCCACGTTCAAGGGCGAGATGCTTGCATGTCTAGAGGCGCCGAGCCTGCTGGCTGCTCAAATCCCCACCAGAGACAAAGAGGAATCAACAGGGTGCGCACAGGAAGCATTCGAGGTCAGGCCTAAGCCGATAAGCCGCAGAAATCCAGGGTGAGGGGTGGGGGAGAAGAGGCGTGTCTGCAGGTGGAGCCCAGCCTGGGAAGCCAGGGATGATCCCAGCACTGCCCCTCTCATGGGGTGAAGGTGGGGAGCAGGGGGAGGAGGGGAGGAAAAGCTACAAACCGCTCAGTGGCCAATTCCCCCTTCCTCACCCCTCTCCCCGAACAACCCCCCCCCCTCCCCCCCGCCCCAGGATTCTTTCCTTTGGACCTCAGTGCCCAGAACTGGCTTCTCCATCACTCCTGGTTCTGGACACACCCCTCTCCTCACTCCCAGGTGTCTCCCTCCCCGCTGTCAACCTGCCTCCCCTTTTCCCCACTGTGTTCAGGGCCACGGAGTAGGAGAGGGGTCTTTCCTACCCCTTGTCTTCCTGAACAGCGAGGGGTGGGGGTGGGGGAGAACCACAGGTCCCTGGGCAAAAGCATCTGCCATCCCCCTCCCAGCACCAGCTACCGAGCCCTCTAACACTGTATCCGCGAGACCACTCGGGCACTCCTGACCTTTGGTCGACACACTAAGTTACGTGGTGACACCACTCTGTCCCAGGAACCCTGAGTTAGCACCGCCCTTTTGAGGGTCTATACTTTGGCCAACGTGGCTGCTCGTCCCCCAGGTGCGTTACTTTGTTCCCACGCAGCAGGCGCTGCACTCGCTCTGGGAACAGGCGGGTGAGGTCCCGGTGCGTCCGGGACATCCTCCACCTGGCAGCTCCTCACCTCGGGGGTGATCTCACTTTCACAGAAGCCAAGGCGTTCAGAAAGCAGCAGGTTATCAGGATGGCAAACACCCTGGTTCTGAAACAGTGCACGTCCCTATATGTTTCTTGAGCACTTACTGGGTGCCAGGCACGGGGCGAGGCACTGGGCCTTGCAGATGTGGCCTTGAGGGGTTGGTGGGGGAAACGGATAAACAAACAAACGGTCAAGAGGCAATGAGAAGCTTGCTGTGCTGGTGAGGGGCGAGCAGCCAGGGGTCACTGACTTGGGGAGGTGGGCAGGCGGCAAGCCCATGGACAGAGTGGCACCCACGTCAAGGTTTGAGGGCTGTGTTACTAAACTTCCAAGCCCTTCAATGTGTCCTGTCCATCTGAGAAGATCATTATTCCCCTTTTATTGATGGAGAAATAGAGGCTCTGAGAGGCTAAGGAGGCAAGGTTTGGCACAGGGGAGAGGAGAACCCAGGGTGGGAGCCCACCCAATGCCAGGCCTCTGTCATCTGAGTATTTTACCCACAACAGGCGCACAACAAGGACCTCTTTATCCAAGGGGCAGGCTCTGCACTTCCGGAAGCTCAGGGCATGACAGGAAGTCATGCTCTTGAAAAGAAAAATGCACATTGCATCTTTTAAAAAAATATATATTTTTACTGATTTCAGAGAGGAAGGGAGAGGGAGAGAGAGATGGAAACATCAATGATGAGAGAGAGTCATTGATCGGCTGCCTCCTGCACACCCCCCATCGGGGATCAAGCCCGCAACCGGGCATGTGCCCTTGACGGGAATTGAACCCGGGACCCTTCAGTCCACAGGCTGACGCTCTATCCACTGAGCCAAACCAGCTAGGGCCACATGGCATCAATCTAGGCCAATTCCGCTGAGAGCCCAGGACCCACCCATGGACCCACGGGAACCTGTCACTCGTCTTCCTTGACGTCCTTGAAACATTTCATCAAACTGACCACGTCCTATTTGGACATGGATGAACATATGCATGCATGAATGAATGAAGGACCATCTATCCATTCATCCACCCAGCTCTCTTACACACAGTAAAGCTCATTCCTTGCGGTGTGCACTTCTATGGGTTCTGAGTCATGCAGGGGTGTGTACCCACCACCTCACTGCTCGGTGCAGAACCACCACCTTTCCCAGTGGAAGAGCTTGACGGAGACGCCCTCCCATTAGATGCCCAGCTTTCGCAGACCTTTCAATTAGCTGATGCTCTTCGGGGGATATAAACTGTGATTTGAATTCTTCAAAAAGGAATAAAATTGCCTCAAAACATACCATTCTCCCTTTGCTGTCTACCCTGGTTAAAAATAAGCCCGCATTCTAAACCCTGACATTTATTCTGAAAACTATGAAAGCTAGACTGGAAGGCTGGGAAGTAATTTAAATAACTTCACATTTCTATCATTTTCACTTACGTGTCGTAGGAGCCACCCAAGGGCCAGAAACCAAGAGCAAAAAAATGTCTGCCATTCTGTGATGTGAAATAACTTAAGAACTTTGCACCTTTCATGGGCAACAATGGGAATGTCTAGCTTTTTTACCACCACCCTCCTGTCCCAGGCAAGAGTCAAAACAATGAGATTAAGTCGTTGGTTTAATCAGCATGAAAAGGAGTTTAAAATCCTCTCTCTCTCTCTCTCTCTCT